TGAACCTTGGGCATAAATGGACTACTCATAGCAATGAATGCTTCAAGAACAACGATGATGCAACAGCTGATGAAGTGCTTGGTTGCTAGTCTGGTTCAGCTGATAGAGTTTGAACCTTGGGCACGAATAGACTATTCATAGCAATGAATGCTTTAGGAACAATGATGATTGTTTGCAGAGGCCGAGAGAGAGAGAGAGAGAGAGAGTCTGGAGACACAGGGAAAGACGAAATGGGAAAATGAAAAGGTTTTGTTGGAATGGAAAGAGGTGACAGATTGTAATGATTCAAGTTTCTTGGGAGATGTGTGATGGCTGATGACGTCTAATGGGGTGGCGTATGTCAATTATGGAACGTATTGGGAACCAATAAAGAGGTGACACATCATGATGTTGGTATGATGGTTGAGACAATAGATTTCAAATCTTGATGTTTTTGAACTAGTGAGTTATGACCTCGGCTAGTAATGTAATCTCAGTTGAGATGATGATCTTAGTTGAGAAGTGCGATCTCAGTTAAGATGTTGATCTCAATAAAGATGACGATCTCGGTTGAGATGTTGATCTTAGTTGAGATGTTGAATTTGGATGGGACATAACTTGTTTGTTTTTAGTTCCTGATGAGTTGATACAAGGATTTTGATGTTCTTGAACTAGCAAGTCATGATCTTCACTAGTAGTGCGATCTCTGTCGAGATGTTGGACTTGGATGAGATAGAACATGATGGTTCATGGTTCTTAGTTTTTGATTCTTGACGAGTGGACATTTGAATCATTGTTTCTTTATGTCGGCGAGTAATGATCTCGGTTGAAGGAGTATTTTTAGCATGTTGTTTAGCTGACATGTTAGAAGATCAGACGCTATATGTTCCATCACCTCTGGTTGCCAAGATAATAGAACCTAGGGGGCAGTTGTGAGGAAGTATTTTGACAATGACGCCACGTGGCCAAGGTGCCTTCAAGATGTTGGCCGAGGTGTTATGTGGGCGAGTCATGTTTGCTAGGGTGACTGCGACGTTGCCGAGGTTCAGTGCCGTAATGCCGGAATTCGAGATATTCGGATATAGGACAAGAGTTTTAGATGACATCAAGCTACCTATTTGGATAGAGATGAGACTCTTGAGAAAGTTCATCTTAATTTGAATAGTGTGAGTTGTGATAGATGCTATCATTGTAAATGATAGAGTCTTATGAAGTAAGATTTTAGGGAAAGTTGGACATTGATCATTATAAAAGTGAGGTACCCCTGTGGGTCTAAGGTATGATTTTATTTGAGACGCTTTAATTTGTGCATTAAGTATTTGTGCGATATCTTTGAGAGATTATTTGACTGATTTGATCATCAGAGTGCTCCTGGGTTGACGAACTACCGCGGTATTCTCATCTTTTTATTGGCAGATGGTTGGCTTAATTTATTCTGTTGCGTTCTCTCTAGTTAAGTTCTCTGTTTAGTTGTGTGGTAAAAAATCAATACCTACATACAAGAATAATTTATATATTGTGATATAAAAAAATAAATTGTTTAGATTATCGAGGTGTGATCCATGGCCAAAAAAAATTCTCAATTGTTTTGGAGTAATATGTTTGCAGTGGAGGTAGAATTAATGTTAGAGGAGTCTAATTATGAAATGAATCTAAACCATAAACTCGATATTTTTTGGTAAAAATTTATGAAATTATATTACTTATACTATAATTAGCACTTATTTGAAAACTGATTTTTTAAAACTAAATGAGATAAAAATAAATAAATCGAGATGTTTAAAAAGAAGTTTTTGGCTTTTTTACGCAAAAAATAAAAAATACAAAAAATGGAGTAGTGGGGGAAAAAAATAATTATTATTTTTGTATGGGCTTAAATTTTTTGAGACAATTGCCAAAAAAAAAAAAAAAATTAATGGTTTGAGTTTTCTCACAAAATGAATTCTGAATTTTTAATTTTATCAGTTTAAATCCTAATTTTTTAATTTATTTTCAATCTAAACTATTCATTTATTTTTGTTAAGTAAAATTGATAAAAAAAAATTTGTATTTTTGTTATAAAATTCAATATAGATATATATAAAATATCTAAAATATCACTTTTCATTTAGTTTAATGACTAAAATAATTATTATTTTACAAATGTTATTTAACGAAAATAATCAAACAATTTAAATTGAAAGCATATCAAAAATTAAGAATTTAAATTAAAAAAATTAAAAATTAAAAGTTTATTTTGCACAAGGGTCAAACCTCTGTAATTCTCCTTTTTTTTTCGATTTTTTGATTTATTATTATTTTATTTTTTATTATAGTTTACTTTTTTTAGACGGACCAATCAAATTTGGAAAGTGAATTTTTTTGTAGGTTTTTTTAATTGTAAAATATTATTAGAAATTTTTTTTTTTATGTTTGGAAAGATAGTTAGATTTTTTTATGATTAGATATGATATTTATAAGAAAAAAATAAATTAATTATAAAATTTGATGTGATATTTTGTTTAAATTTATTTTTTTTAAGTTTTGTAACTACTTTTTATTTTAATAAAAAAAAAAATCCACAAAAAAATCTTTCCCAAACACCGCGTAGTTGACTCTGCCGGCAATGTGTCACATAATAGCTCCATTCATCTATCCGCGTATTTGACTCCCAGCCGCAGCAGCAAGTCGTTTCCCACCATCCCATGGGTTTATTCAAATTCAACTTTTCGTACAGATCACGTCCACTTTTATCAAAAATGCTCCCTAATCTGAAAAATTGAAGCTCGAATGATTCGAATGATATGAAAAATATTAACTTATAGGTAAGAGAATAAATTTTTTTTTTAAAATGACGTCGTTTTAAAATTTCGAGCCATTCAAACCTTTAATTTTTCAAACTCCGTAGCAGTGCCACTCTTTTATAATCAAACCATCATTACAGACACAGCTAAGCTTTACGCCCCATTTCCTTTAGACCCTCATTTATAAATTTTAAAACTCTTCTTTGCCCCTCTCTCTCCCCAAAAAAAAAAAAAAAAATTGCTATACAAATTTAAAAATTGGATTTTTTAAAAAAATTTAATTATGTAACAATCAATTAAAATATTTAAGGTAATATTCTCTCTCATATATTTTCTAATCATTAACAAATCATATTACTTACACACTATTAGATCTAAAAAATAGATTTAAAAAGTGAACTTGTATGTCACTTTTAAAAAAAAATAAAAAAAATTATAAATACATTTCTTTAAATTTATTTAAAATTATTAAGTCAATTAATAAATTTTAATAGTATTTTTAATTAATAATTTTGATGATTTTATTGTTGTAAAAGAAGATACTCATAAATTTTATTTTTTCTAGTCAATTGTGTTAAATGAAAAATTTTAACAATTGTTATTTCTTTAAATTTATTTTTTCTAGTCAATTGTTATTTCTAGAATCACAAGGATAATATATATTTTAAACAAATCTCAAGAAATATATTTATAATTTGCTCAAAAAAATGAAAATTTTTATACCTTTGTTATGACTTTTATGATTTTTAATTACGACTTATTGCGATATTAATTATGATTTACTGTGATATTAATTATAATATTATTTTAATTTTTTATCTGACAACTTTCTAGTTATACTTTATATGGTGTTTAATTATAATTGATTTATTTTTTTAATTATAACTCTATAGTATTGAGTTATTATATTTGTAAAAAGTAAACTCACAAATCTCCTAAGAGACTCTTTAAGCTTGGTTTGAAAATATCCAAAATAAGATGTTTATTGGTTTATTTTTATTATATCACATCTCTATTTTTTTTTATGAGTATTTCTATTCACATTTAAAAATTAAATCCAATTTCTAAATTTAGTGACGTGTCAAGAAGATGATTAATTGATAATTAATTATTCTTTATTATCGACCAATCATTTTTTTGACACATTATTAAATCTGAAAAATGAGTTTAAAAGATAGACTTTTTATATTATTTTTTTATACATCTTTTCAAAATAAACTTTAAAAAAAAAATTAAAAAAAACCCCATACCCAAAATAACCCTTAGTATTAGCCCTCTTTATGTGTATGATGCTTACATGATCTACCCAGGCTTTGAAAAACGATTGCAATTGTTGTACCGGTTGTAGTGACGCAGTAATAGTTACGAAGTGTAAAGGCCGTAACGTAATGGTTACGGTAATTGAAATTGTGATTTTTTTAATTTTTTAATTTTTCGTATAATTTGAAGAAAACTTACCGATATATATATATATATATATATTTCAGAATCACATTTATTGAGGTTTAAAATAAATTTTGATCAATTTTTGTTAATTTTTAAGTATGATCTAATATATTTCATATTTTCAAATCACTGTAAAATACGTTTTTTACATTTTATTTCAATAGTTAGTGATTTTAAGAATAATTGATTTTAAATGTCTACAAATTATTTTTTTATCAATACCTAAACTAATTAAATAAAAAATATTCACAATTATTAAATGAAAGGATTATAAAATAAAAATTATACCATAAATTTTAAAAAAGATTATAAGGAAAAAAAAAATCATATGAGATTTTTTTATTTAGGTTTAGATCACTTGAGTATGTTTGTTTGTTTGTTTTTTTTTTTTTTTTTTTTTTTTTTTTTGTGAACTTGTTTTTGTTTTTTCGGAAAAAGAAACTATTCAAAATATTATAAAAAGGTGTAATGATATCTAATGAACCGTTACGGTCGTTATAGTACTATTATGACTGTTATAGTACTGTTAGAGTCGTTACGTAATATCGAAACAACTATTACACAGGTCAGTTTCCGTCATATTACTATAACAGTCATAACGGATTATAATAAGAAAAATGCTTGGGAGCACTTAGTGCTCCCACTAATTAGGTGGCAGTGGGTCCCGTCATTAATGATGTGATGTTTTGGTCTTGGAGTTGTATTTTTTTTTTTACTTTTTTAATACATTAGTGCTATTAGTTGTGATATTTTTAGTAGGATGAATCATTGTTATAATAATCACCTTAACGAGGTTAAGTAACCGTTACAACCGTGGCTCTACCATTCTCCTTTCTCTCTCTGTGTTCTCCGCCACCGTGCCTCTTCACAACCCACCTCTCTTTTCTTCTCCGGTCACCGGAACAGATTACCAAATATGCCAGCAGCTGGCTTCGGCCCTGGTCCTTGTACCGGAAAGGAATATCCCGGTGACCTCACCCTCTATGTCACCCTAACATGCATGGTTGCAGCCATGGGTGGTCTCATCTTCGGTTACGATATCGGAATTTCCGGTACACATACATACACTGTTCTTTGATTCTGCATATATCAATGTATACTGTCATCTACAATTTTTTTGATCTGGGTTTTGGTTTTTTCAATTTGGGTTTTGTGTATTTACAGGTGGAGTGACATCTATGGATTCGTTCTTGAAGAAGTTCTTTCCATCTGTGTATGAGAAACAAAAGGCAGATAGTTCGACGAACCAGTACTGTAAATTTGACAGTTTCACTCTCACTATGTTCACTTCTTCTCTGTACTTGGCTGCTCTGTTATCGTCGCTTGTTGCTTCGACAGTGACGAGAAAATTGGGAAGAAAATTGTCCATGTTGTTCGGAGGTGTACTGTTCTGCGCCGGAGCTCTCATTAATGGGTTCGCTCAAGCTGTCTGGATGCTAATCGTTGGTCGTATTTTGCTTGGTTTTGGCATCGGATTCGCCAATCAGGTACCCTGTTCTCTCTCTCTCTCTCTGATGTTTGAATATTCCATCTGTTATGGTTTTTTGTTTTTGTTTTTAAAAACCAGAGTATGTGTTTTTGGAATTTGTTTGAGTCTTCCTAGATCTCTTTTTGTTTTGTTTTTGTCTTGTTATATATGTTTTTTTTCTTTTTTGTTAAATCATTGTTTGTTTTCTTCATTCTCTAAAAGTAATTTTGTTATTTTTTGAAGCAAATATTGCATTTCTTCTGATTCTTAAAACCAAAAGATGTGTTTTGGATCAAGGCATTCAGATGTTTCAATGGTTTCTAAAATCACAACAGAGTTTGTGTTTATGGAATTTGTTTGATTCTTCCAAGATCTTTTGCTTTCTGTTTTTCCTCCAACAAAAAAAAAAAAAAAAATCATTTTCCAAAATTGATTTAGTGTCGTTTGGGAAATGGATTGGTTTTTTAACTTTTTGATTTTTTTGACTATTTTAGTCTGGGCTAAAAAGTTTGATTTGGGATGAGATTTTGATTTTTTTAATTTTTTTTGAGAAAAATAATATAATGATTATGGGTTGAATATAATATTTTATTTTATTAGATTAAAAAGTCTATTTTATTTTTTATAGTTATTTTAATCAAAAAAATCCAAAAAATCTCTTCCCAAACAGAGACTTTGTTACTTTCTGAAGCAAATATTGCATTTTGTTCTTTTTCTTTTTGAAACAAAAACTTGTGACTATTTGCATCAGATCTGACTAGTAATCCAAAAACAAAGGACTGAAGTGCTAGAAATTCAGAAAAAAAAAAAAGTACTGGTTCAAAAAAAAAAAAAAAAAAAAAGTTAGCTTTTTTGATAACTTCTCAAAAGACCCCAATATCATTTAATAATGGGGGTGTTTGTTTCAGCTTTTCAGAGCCAACTTATGACTTTTAACTTTGAAAAAGTTATTTTAGACTGTTTGGTTAAACTTATTTCAAACAGCTTCTGATTCTAACAACTTATTTTAACTCAAAAAAGCTGATTCTGAGAAGCTGCTCACCCCTTGCTGCTCACCCCTTGCTTCTGATTATCAGCTTCTGCTGTGGACATGTTAATTTATGGTTATACTCTTAAATTTTTTTATTTTTTTAAAAATAGAAAAAGACTCAAATGGACTATAGATTATTATTATTATTTTTTATGAGAAACGTAGACAAACAAAAAATAAAAATTGAAAAAGCTATTTCACAGCTTATTTAACAAACACTACTCAGCAACTTAAATCTATAATCAACAGTTATACCAAACAGATTAACAACTTCTGATTAAAGTCATAATCTATAATCTGTTAAGTTATAATCTATAAGCTGTTTTAACAGCTACACCAAACAGGGCCTAAATTCTCCATAACTTTTTGATGTACTTTGACTTGTCTTTTTAAAATGAAATTATTTGAAAAAAAAAAACTCAAATTTGTCATTTCTACCAAATAAAAGTTCTAAATTTTCAACTTTGTTAATTTAGATTTTAATATTATAATATTTTTTAAATCTAAATTACTTGTCCATTTTTATTAAGTAAAATTGATAAAAATAATATTTTAGTTATTATACTCTTACATGTTAAATTAATTCTAATGACTAAAATATATATTTTTTAGTCAATTTTACCGACTAAAATTATACAAAATAATTTACATTAAAAAGAAATTAAAAAATCAACTAAAGGGTGGGTGACATTGTAGTTAAGGCTTGGGGTTTAAGCCCCAAGGTCACAAGTTCAATTCCCTCCCCTGTGGGCTAATCTTTTAGGCGAAACATAGTTGGTTAGGAGGTTGGACCTCAAGTTATTTAATCAGCACTTTGTGTGAGTTCAATGCTCCCTCGTTGTGCGAGTCCTGACTTAAGCAGAGCTTGTCTTGGGAGGTCGGGACAAGTTTCCAAGTTATAGTCTCCTCACTCAGAACGACTGACAGGACACCCTGGTGATTTCTGCAAGGGGCGTTGCCTTAGACTTGCGAGAGGATAGAGAGGATTTTCCTGTAACAAAAAAAAAATAAAAAAAAAAAAAAAATCAAAAAATCTATTCGTAAATGCAAAGGCATTGAATAGAAATAAAAATTTTAAAAATTGATTTAAAAACTGCTTGTTTTTAAAATATATGTCAAGTCTGCTGTGATGTGTTTTGGTTTTCTTGATTGGGTTGAAAATAACATTTTAATATCTATACTTAGAAGAACATGTGGTACACTTTTTGTTTTTGTTTTTTTTCCCTAAAAAACTCATTTAATTTATTATTCAATTTTGTAATGAGATTAATAATTAGTTAATCTTAATTTGCTTTTAATTTGAATTAATTTAAGTACTAAAACATTGTTTTTGATTTGTAATTATAGTCTGTGCCACTATACCTCTCCGAAATGGCTCCTTACAAGTACCGTGGTGCACTCAACATAGGGTTTCAATTGTCGATCACAATCGGGATATTGACAGCCAATGTGTTGAACTACTTTTCCGCCCAGATCAAAGGTGGTTGGGGATGGCGGTTGAGCTTGGGGGGAGCGGTGGTCCCTGCCCTCATAATCACGATCGGATCATTAATCCTTCCTGAGACGCCCAACTCGATGATAGAGCGTGGCAAGACTGATGAAGCCAAATCTAAACTCCAAAGAATTCGTGGTGTTGATGATGTTGATGAAGAGTTCAATGATCTTGTCACGGCTAGTGAGGCATCTAAGAAGGTGGAACATCCATGGAGAAACCTTTTGCAAAGGAAATATCGACCCCACCTGACCATGGCCATCCTCATTTCTTTTTTCCAACAACTCACCGGCATTAATGTCATTATGTTCTATGCACCGGTCTTATTCAACACTATTGGTTTTGCAAGCAATGCCTCACTTATGTCAGCTGTGATCACTGGTGGTGTGAACGTTCTCGCAACACTAGACGCTTTTTATGGCGTCGATAAGTGGGGAAGACGGTTTTTATTCCTCTTGGGGGGCACTCAAATGTTCCTTTGTCAAGTATAATTTAGTTTTTCATGTTTTTTTTTAATAGTTATATTTACATGTTATTTATTTGATTTAATTTTTGTTAGGATAGATTGCAGTTGCGGCTTGCATTGGTGCTAAGTTCGGGGTCAATGGGACCCCAGGTGACTTGCCCAAGTGGTATGCTAGTGTTGTGGTGCTTTTCATATGTATCTATGTTGCTGGTTTTGCGTGGTCATGGGGAGCTCTTGGTTGGTTAGTACCTAGTGAAATTTTCCCACTCGAAATCCGTTCAGCAGCACAGAGTATCAACGTGTCGGTCAACATGATTTTCACATTTGCAGTCGCTCAAGTCTTCTTGACAATGCTCTGTCACTTGAAGTTTGGTTTGTTCATCTTCTTCGCGTTCTTCGTGGTGGTGATGACCATTTTCGTGTTCTTCTTCGTGCCCGAGACAAAGAACATACCAATTGAAGAAATGGTGATTATATGGAAGGAACATTGGTTCTGGTCGAGGTTCATGATCGAAGTTGATTACCCAGCTAATGGAGCCATTGAGATGGACTAGGATGGCAAAGCAACGAAAAGAGAAAAGTTAGGGATCATGAAATTTTTTTTCATGAAAATGATCATGAAAGATTTGTGATTTTTGGATTACCTTGGTTAGTATGTGGTACTTTATTCTAAGTGTAATCCAAGGGTCACAAAACTTTCATGATTATTTTCATGATACCTAGCATTGCTGCTACGAAAAATGTGTGACCCGTGATGAATTCATTTTGCGGCATACGTATACAATCCGCGAGGGATATAGATAGAGCACTACAACAAAAGTTACTATTTACGGTTTTGCGTTTACGGCATGCATCAAAAGAATGTTATAATTAGTGAATTCTACGACATTTATTTTTGACAAGTCATTAATACTTTGTAAAAAATGGCATACATACTATGTATATCGTTGATTCATATATTTATGACAAACAAAAATATGCCATTGAAAACATTTACTTTCAGGGCTTGTAAAAATATGCCGTGAAATGTCTATGTTTAAGATGACCTGCATTTTATGTTATAATATATTATAACTTTATACAGCATGCATTAGTATGTCATGAAAACTTTTACTAGAAAAAATTAAAAAAAAAAAGAAATTATTTTCACTCCCAAAAAGTCATAATTATAGCGATCCCGGTATTCCCTGTTGTTATTGAACTGTAATCCGGACTTGGTTCCGTAGATTCGTTGTTGTCTTATCCTCATTTCTATCCCTTACTCTTTGTTTTAGAGTTTTGGGTTATGTTGGGCAAGTTGGGAATTAGTTGGTTGTGTTTTAAAACTTTGAAATTTTGCCCAAGTTTTGGTCTCTCCGCTCGAGCGGCGGTTTGGACGCTCGAGCGTGAATTTCCTTCTCTCAGCATTTTGGTCGTCTGCAGAAAATTCTGGGAGAGTGCATCCGGCGCTCGAGCGGATCTTTGGACGCTCAAGCGTGAACCTGTGTCTGACGCTCGAGCGGGGTATTGTACGCTCGAGCGGACCTGTTTTTATATCAGTCCGTGAAATCACCTTTTTTGATCACTTTTTGATTTCCTTTCTCTCTCTTACTTTTTCAAAACCTCCATTGGAGAGCACCTCACTCTAAAACCGAACTTCTCTCTTAGGATTGATCTACCTAGAGTGTTTTCCTCACCTTGGGCCTTTGTAAGAAGTGTGTTGATCGTCGAGGGCTTTGTTGTGATCCAAGAAATTTGGGAATTGGAGCACTTTGATTTCGGGTCGTCTTCTCTATTTGAGTTCTCCATTTGAGGTAGGGATTCTCCTTGTTCTTTTTCAATACTTCGTCTATAGATAGACATGTGGTAATTTTGTATTGCATAAAAATCACATCCATGTTGGATTTGTTTGAAATCATGAGAAGGAGCCAGGGTTGGGTGTTGAAAAATGGTTATGTTGTCATTAATGGTTGTTTTGGGCTAATTGGAGTGTAAATTAGCATGTTGTAGTTGATAGAAGAAAAAGGCCTAAATCATATTTTGATTGATAAATTAAAGTGGAGAATAGTGAATCTATATTGTAAATCTCTATTGTTGAGGTGGGTTGGGTGAAGGTGTTAATGCCTAAGGGATTAACTTGGCTTTGGAATGGTTTAAAATGAATGTAGTGGACTAATGTGAGTTATGACTTTATTATCAATGGAAGTGGCTTTGTAAAACAAAGGAATAAATTTGGTTTTGTAACAACAAAAGTGACAAAGTTGATTTTGTGAAAACAAAAGGGATATGAAACTTGTTTTGTGAAATGGGAAAGATATTTTGAAATACGTATGAAAATTGGATTGTTGTTTCGTGAGTGTTGAACACACATATGTGTGGAATTGTACCTTGAACTACCATGTTGATGTGTTGTCAGGTTTGTGGTCTCATAGTGATTGAGTCTTTAATAGATGTACTAAATATTTGCATCTAGAGGTTTTGTCCTTGGTCATCGGTGGAGGATGACGTGGTTGTGTTGAATTGTTGTGTATGCATTACACCATCGTTGATTGAACATCTTATGTGATGAAATGTTGAGATGCATTAAATATGTATGCTTGTTAGGGAGGAGAGAGGGGTTGTACTCCAGTGTGTGTGAGAAGATAGGGGATGAACTCCACACACCTATGTGTTCATATACTTTAACACATTGTGAGAATCTAAGGTACCACACCCTTCCAGCTAGCGCCTGGTAAACTGACTGCGCTGAGAATCTAAGGTACCACACCCTTCCAGCTAGCGCCTGGTAAACTGACTGCGCTGAGAATCTAAGGTACCACACCCTTCCAGCTAGCGCCTGGTAAACTGGTATGTTGTTGTGAAGAGGTGTATCTTTGGCTTACTATGCACATGGCTAGTAGAGCAAAGTTTTGTTGTTGATATTTCAGTGTGTTTAGGGAATATCATGGATTGTGTTGATTATGGTTCTGGAGGGCCGAGTTGCCTCATTGGTTTATCTTATGCACGTTGGTGAGTTGTTATTTTTTTTTTTAACAGTACTTGTATAGAGTTGATTGTATCGGGAAAAAGCCAAAATGTCATATTTGTCTTTTGGAAAGTGTGAAGGAGAACGGACTTTTTAAAGAAACATATACTTTGAAAAGCATATCTGTGTATATTTGGAAAATAGAAGAGTGTGGTGGGCTTAGTAAAATTATTTCCTAAGGTATTGTTAATGTTATGAAAGGGTGGGAACGGGGATTAATGAAAAGAAAAGGAAAGATGAATCGCCTATGGCGTTGATTGAAATGGTTGTTTTCAAGAAATGTTTTTACTTATGTTATTTTTGTATAAATTGTCACATTACTATTCTAGTATGAGAATGGGTGTTCATGATCATAGCTATCTGTAAGTTGTTATTGTTGAGGATCATGTTGAGTTCCCTACTGGACTATATGTTCATCCCACGTTGTTGAATTCTTTTCAGGTATTAAGCAGGTTGGGCTGCAAGATTTGGATCTACTTAATTACTGGCCACGGGGCCTCAGTTATGTTGGCGGAATGCCATTGTTGTGAAAGGGTTACACCCTTCTTCTTGTACCTTAAGTGATGTAAGCCCAAGGGCAATTTATTAAGTATGTTCATGTAATATTTACTTTGCATACGAATGAGAGAATGTTAATCACTTCTACAGATTGAATGTATGAGCTTATTTCCGCATGTTGTCTTTGAAACTGAATTAAGTTAATGGATTTGGTAACGACTTCGAGTAATAAAAAGTGGGGCGTGACAATAATCTTATAAATCAATAAGTGTTTTTTTAATTTTTTTTACTAAATTATATTTTAATTATAAATAATAATAATAATAAATAATTCTAGATGTTCTTAGATATTTATAAATTTCTAGTAGATATGACAATTTATATATATATATATATATTTCCCAATAAACTAGATATTCTACTTATAATCTACGTTTTTTAATACAAAAATAATTTATAAACATATCTTAAAAAAAAATTTATCCACAATTTTCTACTCCAATTTATTTATTTATTTATTAATATTGTTAAAGTTGTACAATCTTTACCTTCCAAATTTATTTTATATATTAATATTGTTAGTCACACAGTTTTTGCTTTGCATTCTCATGGCCCCCCCTCTCTCTCTCTCTCCTCCTCCTCTTCCTCCTCCTTCTTCTTCTTCTTTTTCTTCTTCCTTTCTCTCCATCATCGTCTCACACAAACACATGAGCACCACCACCCATAGTTCTAAATCGCAGTATCGAGTGACGTAACGGTATCGATATCGATCGTGGAGTATCGGTATCGGTAGTATCGACCAGTACGTATCGGGTATCGGGCGTCGCGACTGTGAAATTTCAAAAATCATTAGCAATCCCTCTAAAACTCAATTTTATGCATTTTTTGGACTCTTTTAGTCTTAATTTATCACATTTTAATTAAAATTTTGATATGTAGAGGCACTTTTTGTAACGCCCTCAAAATAGACTCATTATATATTTGTCACTGACATGCAATATTTAAAGTAAACAATTCATTATCTCATTCATCAGAGTATTTCTAAATAAAAGCATTACATGTAACATCAAATTAAATGCCCTACGGGCTTACATCTTTCCAAGCCAACACTTGGACACAAAAATATGAGTTCTAACTCAAATACAAGTAAAGCCCTAGGCTTGAAAGTTTACATGTACTATCAAATCAAAACAACTAACTGAAGATAGTCTTCAAAATCCAAAAGTCAAATCCTTCCAAGCAAAGTCCTTGGAGGTAGCTTATCACCTGAACCTGAAAATGATGTTCCCATAAAGGGTGAGCCACAGCCCAGTAGAAATATACTAAACCAAATATAAGCATCGAATAAAGCAATAGCATTCATGATGGTTAACCAAGATAATCAATTGTATCATTATACAGTCTCATGACACTAATGTCTAAGACACATTTCACTTTCCATTATTATCAACATGGCTCAGAACCTGGCCAAACTTACAATAGTGAACTATATATCATATTCACATTACTTTCAATATCAACAAAACAATGAGACTCAGGCTCATATCAAAACACTTCATACTTCCCGTTTGATACACATTGTAGTGCTGTATCAATAACATGTAAAAACACTTCAATATAAAGCACACATAATAGTGATGCTAATGAGTCCATCCCATCTCCTTCCAAACAAAATCCGGTTTAGAGGTTCATCCCCTATCTTCCCTAAACCGTGGAGTACATCCCTATCTCCTCCCAAACAATATGCATATGCAATGCTCAATCAATACATGTAAATTTCTGTATTCAATTTCATTATACTAAATTATAATACTTGAAACAAATTTGGATTAGTTTCAATTTTCCCTAATCGCACATGCAATGTCTACAACAAACACGACTATCCTCACCGGATAGCCCAAACATGTTATTCTAGACTGGAAATAAATATATCAAATTCAATAGGCGAGTGATTTTATATTATCCAACTACACCATTTAATCAATTGATCCTCAATTTGCAGCATTTAACCAATTTCCCCAATTCCTTTAAATTAATTATACAAAATTAATGTATTAATACAACTAGGGTTTTTCCCAAAATTACAAAGTCTCCCAACATATCAAGAATAACAAAACTTAGAACAAAGACTATAGGATGGAGTGGAAATCCCCTACCTCGAAGAAATAACCCGAATGGAGAGCACGAAGATGAAGACCTAAATTCCAAAGTGCTCCAAACTATTAAGATCGGTAACCAAACGTTCAGATTAAATGAAGCCCTTGACTCGACTCTAATCTTTTTAATAAAGGACTAAGGTTAGATTACTCACCCTCGGTAGCATCAATCTTAGAGAGAAGGCACGTTTAGAGAGAGAGAGACTCTCAAGGGGCGGTTTTTAAAAGTTAAGAAAGAAAAGTAGGTCAAAAAGTGATCCAAAAAGTGAAATCTCGGACTGATGTAGTCGACTCCCCGCTCAAGCGTCCAAACTCCCGCTCGAGCGTCGAATACGCACTCCAAGTACTTTTACAGAACCAGGTCCCCGCTC